CCCAGCCCCCAGCCTCTTGGTACTGAGCCTCTGCCTGCCTCTCGGGCCTACCCTGCTCACCTCCACACATCCTTGGTGGCGCTGTATAGAATGACACGCAATTTCCTGATCATGCCGGGATTTTCCCACCTGCAGTATCTTGCGCAGGCTGTCCTCTCTACTTGGGACGTCCGCACCTGACCCCCTACAGGTGCAGACTCCTCCTGCCTGTTCATTCAGATCTGGCCCATCTGTGAGCCTTGACTGGCCACAGCCGCCTCCACTCCCGCTGCTCCCAGCATCGGACACTTCCACCTCCGGCCCCCACAGTGCTTTGCACACACCTCTTTGACGGACTCCACCCCCTGGTTTTGCAACATTCTGTTCATAGGTCAGTGTTCCCATCTAGACTATAAATTCCCAAGTGTTGGGACCATGTATTTTGTTGCAGGTTTTTTTTTTGGCTGGGGCTGGGTTTGAACCTACCACCTCCAGTATATGGGGCCGGCCCCCTACTCCTTGAGCCACAGGTGCCACCCAAGGGACCAGGTATCTTTGTTCTTCATATGCACAGAGCTCAGAGCACCGTCTGGCGTGGAGGAAAGGCACTGGTGCTTAAGGAACACCCTCTCTGTGCCTGGCCCTGCGAGTGTTACTCATGTGTTCTTCCTCACATTTCTCTGAATGAGGTGGTTTGATCTCCATTTTATAGATGCAAACTCTAAGGCTTAGGTGCAGTGGTTCTCCACCTTCCTAATGCCGTGACGCTTTAATACAGCTCCTGTGGGTTGCGACCCACAGGTTGAGAACTGCTGGCTTACAGAGGGTGTTAATATCCCTCTCGTGGGCACATAACCAGTCAGACGTCGAGCAGAAATTAGCATCCAGGTTTGTTTTCTCCCAAACCTTGTGTTTTCTAATGCTTAGTGCTTGGCCTCAATAAATATTTGTTAGATGATGAATGTGGCCGAATATATTTAATGGCTGTGGAAACAGAGCCTGTGGGCAGGAATTTCCCTCATTGCATGAGGTTCAGGCCACCATCCTGAGGTACCATCTGTATAATTTTTGGTTAATCTTAGAGTCAGTTTTATGTAGGAGGCACTTATTAATTAATCAGAAATTTCATGTTGCCCCAGCCTCGGGGATATTTAGTGGACCTATCTTGGAATATTGACCCTTGCTACAGAAGGACTTTTTCTTTTAGAATAAGGTGAGAATATTGTCATCTCTTTGCCATACTATACTTCTTATGCATCGTCTGGGAATGATAGATGTATTTAAGATCTGTAGCTATTTTCCTTTGTAACTGAATTTTAACTCGTCTTCACAGAGAAACACCTTCCAAGCTGTTCTGGCCTCCTCTGATTCCAGCTCCTACGCCATTTTCCTTTATCCTGAAGATGGTCTGCAGTTCTACACGACCTTCTCCAAGAAGGACGAGAACCAAGTCCCTGCTGTGGTTGCATTCAGTCAGGGTTTAGTGGGACTCCTGTGGAGCAGCGACGGAGCTTATAATATATTTGCTAATGACAGGGAATCGATTGAAAATTTGGCCAAGTATGTTTTCTTTTTTCTTCAGTAGATTCTTTTATTAAGGATCATAACGTGATGGGTATTATAGAGCATACCTAAAAATCTTCCTATGGATTTAAGTTTTGTATATCATTTCTGTATTATGAAATACTATTTTTCTGATGAGTTTAAGGGAATATACTCTTTTTTTTTGAGACAGAGCCTCAAGCTGTTCCCCTGGGTAGAGTGCCGTGACATCACAGCTCATAGCAACCTCCAACTCCTGGGCTCAAGCGAGTCTCCTGCCTCAGCCTCCCAAGTAGCTGTCACCCACAGCACTCCCCACTATTGTCACCCACAGCACTTCTGACATCAAATATGTGGGATTTGGTCCCCCTCTCACCACCTTTTTCTCCCAAGAATTCATTTCACTTCTGGCCCTGGAGTTAATGCAGATGCCCCAGGGGAAGGGGGCAGTTCCACAAGACTGGCCCCCACTTCAGATGCTAGCTCCAAGTCCTGTGAACACCTCTGTCCTGCTGACCAGCTCCAAATCAGGGGTTTACAGACCCCTCCTCAGGCCTGATAATTTGCTAGAATGGCTCACAGAACTCAGGAAAGTGCTTCACTTGCTGTAAGTTCATTAGAAAGGGTACAACTCAGGACCCACGGAATGAAACAGACGCCTGAGGCAAGGTTCAGGGAAGCAGGGCAGAGCCTCCACGTCCTCCCCAGACGTCCCACCCGTCTAGCACCTTGATGTGTTCACAAACACAGAAGCTCTTAAAATCTGTCATTTAGGCATTTTTATGGAGGCTTCATTAGAAAGGCTTGATTGATTAAATCACTGGTCGTTGGCCATTAACTCAACCTCTCACCAACCTCTCACCCAGCTCCCCTCCCTGGAGGTGGGGACCAGGCAGGGGAGGAGGACAGCTGAACTGTTGCAACCCTTTAATCCTGCCTGGGTCTCACTGGCCACCAGCCCCCCTGCTGACACTATCTGGGAGGTCTCAGCCACCAGTCAACTCATCAGCATACAAAAAGACACTCTTATCACTCCAGGAATTCCAAGGGTTTTAGGAGCTCAGGATCCAGAGACAAAGGCCAAACGTATATTTTCTATTATATCACGGATATATCTATTATATCCATGCTGTGGAAAGAGAAATGGAGAAAATGAATGACTTAAGTCTTTTTTTTTTTTTTTTTTTTGATTGTTACTTTTTACATTAATGCACTTCTGGGGTACAGTGTGGGGTTTTCACACACAATCCGAAACACTTCCATCAAACTGGTCAACATAGCCTTCATGTCATTTTCTTAGTTATTATTTTAAAACGTTCACATTCTGCTCTTAGAAAGATTCACTTGTACCCTTGTAAGATAAACCTCAGAAGTGATCCCTCCAATCCCTCTCCCTCCACCCATTCCCCCTTCCCCTCTCCCTCCCCTCTTCCTGTATTCTTAGGCTGTTATTAGGTTATAGCTTACATATAAAAGGTATAAATTAGTTTCATAATAGGGGTGTGTACATTGGATACTTTTTCTTCCATTCTTGAGATACTTTGCTAAGAAGAACATTTTCCAGCTTGAATGACTTAAGTCTTTTTTTTGAGACAGAGCCTCAAGCTGTCCCCCTGGGCAGAGTGCCATGGCATTACAGCTCACAGCAACCTCCAACTCCTGGGCTCAAGCGAGTCTCCTGCCTCTGCCTCCCAAGTAGCTGGGACCACAGGCACCCGCCACAACGCCCGGCTATTTTTTGGTTGCAGCCGTCATTGTTGTTTGGTGGGTCCGGGCTGGGGATTCGAACCCGCCACCTTAGGTGTATGTGGCTGGCGCCTTAGCCGGTTGAGCTATAGGCGCCGAGCCAGAATGGCTTAAGTCTTAAAGCGACCTTCAGTCATATGAGCTACCTCAGTTCACAGGGCAGGTAACCAGCAATTAGCGTAAGTCGTGACTGTGTCCCTGGAGTGCACATCAGGAGTGGCTGAGGGTGGGCCTCTGTGAGTGCTCTGCCCCTGTGGACACAGCCTCACAAACAGCCCTGCACTGTCTCAGCGACTGCTTTCCTGCTGTCCAGCCCTTGCTGCAGGAGGGCACAGGCGATGAGTTTCAGATTAGCAGGAATCCCTGGGACCCCTGCTTGGTTAGTGGGGGCTGTTAGGGGGTTGCTGGCCTTTCCCCAAGGATTCTGTCTGTCCTTCCCCATAGGAGCAGCAACTCTGGACAACAGGGCATCTGGGTGTTTGAGATTGGAAGTCCAGCCACGGCCAGTGGCGTGGTGCCTGCAGATGTGAACCTGGGACTTGATGATGGAGCAGCGTATGACGATGAGGATGAGGATTATGACTTGGTGACAACGCATCTGGGCCTGGAGGACGTGGCCACCACACCCTCCCCCTATGGAAATCCTGGAAGGGGAGAGGCCAACACATACGACGTCCCCAGTGTCCTCTCCCCACACTGGACGGCTACTGAGAGACCCTTCGGACCTCCCACTGAGCGGTCCAGGACTTTGCAGTTGCCAGTGGAGAAGTTTGCCCAGCAGCACCCCCAGGTCATAGATGTGGATGAAGTTGAGGAAACGGGAGTTGGTAAGACCGTTAACACTGCAGACGGGAGTATCGCTACTGCTGGGGGGCGGCTGGGGACACCGTGGGGTGGTCTGTAAGGATAAGAGCTTGAGGAAGTAGGGGCTGACGCCCTCAGCGTGGTAGGGCATCAGTGTCCTGTGCCTGATGGCTTCAAAGAAGTCCAGTCATCTTTTCGTGATTAGGACTGTGGTTATGGAGACGGCTGAGTTTCTCTTCTTTCGGGTTTCTTGCATTCCATGCTGGTTTTTTTTTTTTTTGAGCCAGAGACTCACTCTGTCGCCCTGGGTAGAGTGCTGTGGTGTCACAGCTTTGGAGCTCAAGCGATCCTTCTGCCTCAGCCTCCCAGACAGCTGGGACTGTAGGTGCCCACCACAACACATGGCTAATCTTTCTACTTTTAGTAGAGACAGGGTCTTGCTCTCGCTCAGGCTGGTCTAGAACTCCTGAGCTCAAGGTGATCCATCTGAGTTGGCTTCCCAGAACGGTAGGATTACAGGTGTGAGCCACCACACCTGGCCCCATTCTGTCTGAGGAGAAATGTGCTTTAGAATTATTTTGGAAGTCAGATTTTCTTACTTGTGACTTCTCAGATCAGAAATGGAATCAACCCACCTGAAAAAACTCATTAGAAGTTCTTTTGGCTATTTATGCAGCTTATCACTGACATGTTTATTTCCTCATGCTTTTGGAATTAGAATGGTTGATTATTTTTCCTTCCTGGTCCTGTCAGTTTCAAAGTTGGTGCACGAAGATTGAAAAATATGAAATAAGGCTCGGTGCCTGTGGCTCAAGTGGCTAAGGCGCCAGCCACATACACCTAAGGAGGCGGGTTGGAATCCCCAGCCTGGGCCCGCCAAACAACAATGACGGCTGCAACCAAAAAATGGTCAGGCGTTGTGGCTAGTGCCTGTGGTCCCAGCTACTTGGGAGGCTGAGGCAGGAGACTCGCTTGAGCCCAGGAGTTGGAGGTTGCTGTGAGCGTGATGCCATGGCACTCTACCCAGGGGGATAGCTTGAGGCTCTGTCTCAAAAAAACAAAAACAAAAATTTGAACAAATCCAGCCCGGGCCTGCCAAACAACGATGGCTGCAACCAAAAAATAGCCGGGTGTTGTGGCGGGCGCCTGTGGTCCCAGCTACTTGGGAGGCAGAGGCAGGAGATTTGCTTGAGCCCAGGAGTTGGAGGTTGCTGTGAGCGTGATGCCATGGCACTCTGCCCAGGGGGACAGCTTGAGGCTCTGCCTCAAAACAAAAA